TTGAAGAAACTATTCGGTTATTTAGTGAAATAGGATAAGAATAATCATTGTTTGTCATGACTGTCGCCATATGTATAATTAATTTCACTACTAATGCAGATTATTGAAGGATGTTGTGAAGCGGAGCTCAATCTGGTAGACTTTGTTCTTTGTCTTCAATTAATGTTAATGTATTGTACGTGGTAGAGCACATATATTTATTTATTGACTTATTCCTCGTTACATGAAGGAGGATAGTAGATTGGTTATGCACTGCATCTCTGGCCAGATATATGACTCTGATCCTGTTGACTTTAGTAGTGATTTGGGTGCCCGATTGGCTTTAAACCACACAGTCCTGAAGATGCCTGGTTTTGCAAAGCTACTATCATTTTTTGCAAAAGGCGTCACTTCTAGCCTGGATGCTTTATTTCTCACAAAGTTTGGATCCCAACGTGCAGAGTACTGGCAAACTCTTTGTTCTTCAGTTGTAAGTTTCTAATTGGACTGACATTTGCAGATTATGCCTTTGTTTGGGCTCAAATAAAAATGCATTTTTCAAAAGTAATATTTTGGCGAATGTGTGGTTAACAAATAAATAAAAGTTTTGGGTTTACGTGTAAATTTGTAACATTATTTTATTGAAGAACGTGTGGTTGAAAATAAGAAAGAAAAATATATTTTTGGAGAATGGAGCCCAAACAGAGGCTATATTAACTGTTCTTTATTTATTTTGGCCTTTTTATGCTATTTATCTTTACCTATAGGATTTGGGGGTCCCTTTTCTGATTTTATGCTCAGAAAATGATGATGTGGCTTCATATCCAGTTGTATGCAAATTTGCTCGGCAATTACGAGATATGGGTGGCGATGTTAACGTGGTGAAACTGAATACAGGTTAATCTTTAGCTTATAATTATAGCTATATCGATATGTTGGATACATTAAACTTGAGACATTGTGGTTGCTTTCAAAGTCTTTACTTATGTGCTTTCCTTTCATCAATGCCATCTTAATTTAATGCATATTCCTCGTCACCTCAGTCACCCAGTGTAGGAGGCTTTTGGTGTGCTAAATGTAATTAGTTCTGTGTAGAATTTTTCCTCTGGGTGGACTAATCCTGTTTTTGTTCCTTTTTTTCCATTCAACAGGTCTGATTAGTTCAGTTCAACCAGAAATAGTACTTTTAATATTATCTTCAAATGACCAAACGAAGGTTATTTGACTGCTGGAATTTTTCATGGCTAATCATATACATGAAGACCCCTAGTACTGCTTTAGTAAATATATTTTCTGATCATTCTACTATTTCTTTCTTTTCTTCTGTTGTTCTTCTCGTTATTATAAAGTCCTTACTCTTTTGGTTCTTTTGTGAAACTTGTACCTGAGAGGTAGGCAGTTCCCACTCCGACTGGCCAAATTTGTCTTCTTGGGTTTCAAAATAATGGTTCCAGCAAATTCAATTTTGAGATTTTTTAAAAAAAATTTCCTGCTTTACTCTCTATAAAGGTCATATCTAATGGTGTTTCCTTCGACATTCAATGGTGCTCTACAATTCCAAGTCGGATATGAGACGGGCCACTAGAAGCATCCTCAATTGTGCTTATCGTTGAAAATGTAGTAGGTGATTTGGACTCTGACATCTGGATTGGTGAAGGGCGTATAGCTGCTTTTTCTTATCAATCCCTTAATGCTGGTCTATGTGGATTCTCACTTCCTGCAAGTTTCTAATAATTTCTTATTTCTAATCTAAGTAGAATCTCACTTCCTGCAAGTTTCTAGTTCAGGTTCATGAGGCACACAATTTTGGACTGATATGTTTTGCACTGAACAGGTCATTACAAGCATCATTCAATCCAGTACACAACTGCTATAGCTGAGTTGCTTGAGCAGGCAGTTTCTAGTTTTTCCCACAAAATTCAGAAACTTGGAGAAAGAACTCCCATGAATGATATGCATGATGAAGTATCTGACATAATTTGTGACCTCCAGAATGCAGCAGTCGACTCAAATCAAAGCTTTAGAAGAGTTGCAGTTGGGCCGAACGACCACTTCTTCCTGCCAAGTTCAGCTGGCTATTTAAACCGTCGAGACTTTGGGTCTGTACCTGATGAGCGGAAAGAAAGATCACCAAATCGGTCACACCCTTGTATAAATGCGCATAGTGTTCTTGGCCAAGTATTATTTGATGTGTGTGTCCCGAAGAACGTGGAAGGTTGGGATATTAAATTCGCCGGTTCCTTGAATGCAAAGCCACTTGCTTCTGTTCGCAGACGGTTATCATTTAATGCCACTAAACGTAGATCAAGATTATGAGATCTTTCTAGCTAACAACTTTCCGACTTCACAGAGTACTTCCGTATGTAACTATGTTGGACATATGATCACTGCTGTTGTGAAATAGGATGAAAGATAATGGCAGGAAACGGCCTTATAAGAGGGTTCTGTCGTACACATGAGCAGCTGAAACCTGATATTATATGAAAATCTATGGCATTGCCTTGGAACACATGAAGTATCTGCTGCTTAGGAAGTACGAAGATAGGCGAAGGTGATGTGTAGTTCAAGGTATATCCGCATTCCATGAGTTAATCTAATTTCTTTTTGTACTCGATTATAATTATAGTAGACGTATATATAATGTAGTTCAATAGTAGAAAATAAGCTCAATGTGAGTACTTTCAAGTTGTAAGTATAATAATGGAACTATATCGAGGTTTTCCTAATGTTCATATATGAACACAAGTTCTTAATTTTTTGCTAATGTTGTTTTTCTTCCATATTCGTGAAGCAACCAGATAAGTACCGAACCATGATCATGTAACTTTTGAAATTTCAATTGCTGAATATATAGTTTGAAACCCATTTCTTAGATTCAGTTGATGACGTTGATATGTGATGAAGTCATTTTTTGTTCTTTGGGATAAAAAACGACAAGGTATACCATCAAGAAATGCTTTGTGGTTGCACATTATTATTTCTTCTCTGCAAGTCTGCTACACTTTTCTTGAACCTCTAATACATATGCCAAGACGTTGGAGAGAAATGAAGCTGGAGGGTGGGTCCCTGGGTAGGGACGGGGGGTGGGGTGGTGGAAGCAGAATAGACACATAGTATTGTGAACAAGTTAAGCATCAACTTCTTGAAACATATTCTTTACATTTGAACTTTCAAGAAATACATGATTGGCAGATGGAATATGATGATTAAGAAAAAAGGTTTATAGGAAAATTTCACACCAATATAGGGTGTCTTTGAGCCACATTATTTTGGAAGAATGTATTTTGGAATATGATAGACCTCCAATTAAATCTACATATTCCAGGCGCCCGAAGACTAACAAGGCACGTATGGGGACCAGCCACACATTATTTTGAAAGAATTTATTATGGAATAGTAAATTGATGGAGAATGTGTGGTTGAAAAGAAAAGAAAAGTTATTGATGTGATAGAAAATATTATTTTATTGAAAAATGTGTGGTTGAAAATGAATAGAAAATGAGAATGAGAAAGAGAATGAAAGTTTTAATGTGGTTCAAACATGGGCCTACAGTATATAAAAAATTAGACCGTCGGTTCTAATTCAACACTATTGTATTATATTTATACAAGAATGTTTAGATGCACAAGACTCGGTCTTTCAAACCAGACAAAAAAATTCAGTAACAATGTGAATTGAGAATGGTAAAAATGACGCACCTTGAATTAAATGGCATAAACTATGGAAAATGAGTTAGTACATCGTCGATAAAATAGCTCTCACAAAAAGATTACTATTCACTCCTTAATAGCCCGGGAAAATTGGTGGTGGTGGGGATGCGTATTGGAAGCCTAAGTTCGGGGGGAGTACAAAGTCTGGGAAGGGTGGTGGTAATGATTGCACTGGAGGTGGGGGAGAGTAGACAGGTGGGGGTGGCGATTGCTGAGGTGGAGGTGAGAGTTTAGGTGCTGGTGGTGGAGGAGAGTTGACAGGCGGTGGTGGGGAGTGCACTGGAGGTGGAGGTGAGAGTTTAGGTGCTGGTGGTGGGAAAGAGTTAACTGGTGGTGGTGGTGGGGACTGCACCGGAGGTGGAGGAGGTGAGAGTTTGGGTGTTGGTGGTGGTGACTGTACTGGAGGTGGAGGTGAGAGTTTACGTGCTGGTGGTGGGAAAGAGTTGACAGGTGGTGGTGGGGACTGCGCCGGAGGTGGAGGAGGTGAGAGTTTGGGTGTTGGTGGTGGAGGTGGAGGTGACTGTACTAGAGGTGGAGGAGGTGAGAGTTTACGTGCCGGTGGTGGGGGAGAGTTAACAGGTGGTGGTGGGGACTGCACTGGAGATGGAGGTGAGAGTTTAGGTGCTGGTGGTGGGGAAGAGTTGACAGGTGGTGGTGGGGACCGTACTGGAGGTGGAGGAGGTGGAAATTTAGGTGTTGGGGGTGGGGGAGAGTGAACTGGTGGTGGTGGGGAGAAAATTGGTGGAGGAGAGAGTTTAGGTTCTGGCGAGGGTGACTGCACCTGGGGTGGTGGTGATGAGTAGATAGGTGGCGAGGCAACCGGAGGTGGAGTTGATTTCTGCAGCACAGGAATAGGAGCTGGTTTAGATGGTTTTGCTGTGGGAGCAGGAGTTGGGACTAGAGCCGGCTTTGGAGCGGGAGTTGGTGGGTTGGAAACAACTGGAGGAATTGTACCCTTGTGTGGTTGGGCAGTAGTAGGTGGAACAGAAGCCTTTGGTTGTTTTGGAGGATTCGACTTTGGACTTGGTGGAGGCGGTGAAGGAGAAACCTTTGGTGGTGAGGGTGTGGGCTTTGGTGTTGGTTGTGGTGCCTTTGGTTTTGGCGTTGGTGGTGTCTGTTTGGAAACCTTGGGGGGTGAGGGTGTGGGTTTTGGCATTGGTGGTGGAGATATTTTTGGAGTGGTGGGTTTTGGCGTTGGTGGTGGTTGCAGTTTGGGTGTCGGAATCGATGAAGGTGGAGTTGGTTTACGACTTGGTTCCTGTGGTTTTGGTGTTGATGGTGTAGGCGGAGTTTTCACAGATGGCGGAATTAGCCTCGCCCTTGGTGGTGCCACTGGCTTTGGCCTTGGTTTAGATGGAGTATGCGAGCCTGGGGGCTTCGGACTCACATTTGGTTCCGAAGGTCTGCAGCCTGCAGCACTGCAATTCACGCTCTTGCTTAAGACAGCCTGACATACCTTTTCCGATCTCTGTTGTGCCTCTTTGCCAAAGCAATTATTTTTGTCGTCCGACTGAAGATCGGCCACTTCATTAGGTTGGCAAGTTGGGTCTTTCGCCACGAAATAGTTGGAAGAGAACGTGAAATTTTTCAAATTTGGCAAGCTGCAAATGCTATCAGGAACCTTTCCTCTAAACATATTATTTGCAATGTCTACAACTTCCATATTCTGCAGGTACTCCAAGTCTACAGGCAGATCTCCAATCAACTTGTTATTGCTGATATCAATAACATTTGTGCCATTCAACAGAGTAATTTCTTCAGGCAAGCAACCGGAAAGAGCATTGTTCGAGAAAAGGACCTCATCCAACGTGTTCCCCATTTTGCCAATGCTACTTGGAATGCATCCGATGAATTTGTTGTTAGAGATCACTATTACTGAAGCTGGTGAATTCCCGAAGTTCTCAGGGATGGTGGAGTGGAACCGGTTGTGGTTCACAAAGATAGCGTCAAGGTGCTTATTGAACAACTCTGGAGGCAATGGTCCTTCGAAATCATTGAACCTAATGTCTAGGTACTTGAGGTCGGGTAACCTCAACACGACGTGGGGAAAAGATCCAACAAACCGATTGTTACTTAGATCAAGCTCGAAAAGGATTGTTAGTTTAGAGATGCTCTTAGGAATGACTCCACAAAATCTGTTGGAATTCAGGTGAATAAGGCTGACATCGGTGAGAAGCCCAATTTCGACAGGGAGATGCCCTGCAATGTCAGCATGATTCAGGTCGACACCAGCAACCACAGTCAATTGGGGGTCGTCTAGAGCCTCTGCACAAAAAATACCATTATAGGCACAGACATCAGGACCATTCCAATTGCTCGTGAAGTTTAGTGGATCAGAATAGATACCTTTCTTCCATGTTTGAAGGGCGGCGTAAGCCTTTTTGAGCCTCGGGTTGTCAAATTTGAGATTAACATCAACTTTGGGTTCGTCGGAAAGATCACCTCCTTCTGGTAGAGTTAAAAACTGGCGACGTGCAATGTAAGCTGCCTCAACATTAGTTAATGCAAGAGAAAAGGAAGAAAATGTATATAACGAAAGAAGGGACGAAAGGGCGAGAAAGCAGCCAAAGGCTTTCGGTTGGGGAGGGTTGGCCATGTTGACTCCCTTGGACTAGTGGCCCATGGCCGCTTATAACTATCATATAGAAGAGGAAATGGTGGGTGTTATAAGGAGAGACGTCCAAGATGTTTGTGGAGGTATACCAAAAGTTGAAGCTCTGTGTCAATTTTAGACACAAAAATAGGAGGTTTTGCTTACATTTAGGAGAGTTTGTCTGAATGGAACATGATGAAAAGGACTAAAAACAGATGATAGCTTTTCAACCCACACTAATTAGTGTGTGTGTGTATATATATATATATATATATTTTTTTTTTTTTTTAAAAATGGTCAAAACACGTTGACAGAGTAGATTTATGTGACACACATATTGTACAAATATGATTCAATAACGAAGTCTCATTCCCTAAGTTCCTTTATTGTTTGAGGCTTTAATTTGTAGATAGAGTAATAAGGTTATGTTAGACTGATGAGTGAGTGTATGTCTCAATACTATTCAGTATCCAAATGTAACGATTAATTTCTTTTTTTTAATGATTTTTAATCTTCATTTTTACCACGAGATTAATGGGAAATACCAATAAATGGCCACGGCAATATGTCCTCTTTAGTAAACGACCAATTTTTAAAATGAAACTACCAAAACTATCCCTAATGTTACAAGTTTTCATAAAACATAATTATCGCACAACTTTTGAAGCAAATCTTGAAATCTTCCAAAACAAATCATTTTGCGAGAGAGTTCGGTAATGCCGAGCATGACTACTACTTCGTCGCCTCTCCAATTACACCATTCTTACCATGTTTGTTTAATATTCAGTAGGATCTTTTACTGGAAATATGCGGCCTTTCTTACCATGATGCCGTTTCTAAATATAATTCATGATTTCAGATACAAGTAAATCAATGTTAATGAATGCATCCATAGCTGATCTCTTGGTTTCTGGGCTAAGAATGTTATTCAATGAGGTTGAATTTCGGTGGAAGGTTCATAATGCCAGACCACAGTCCTACTTGTCACACTTAGAAAAGAAGCAGCTCTCAGCGAACGATTCTCATCTTACTACCACGCCTCCCCCACCAAAATGGAAGAAAAAAATTGATTCTGCAGTTGTAGAGGCAGCTATGCAGGATTTTATCGACAAGTTTTTGCGCGATTTTGTGATTGATCTGTGGTATTCTGATGTTACACCTGACAAAGAGGCACCTGAGTTGATACGTGCTGTAATCATGGATGCATTTGGCGAAGTATCTGGCAGACTCAAAGCAGTAAACCTTGTTGACCTTTTGACGAGGTATTCACAACTATCTCTGTCTACTTCTATGAAGTTGTAAAACCATGTGAATTCATGAATAAATGATTAATTAAGTGTTTAAACCTGTTTTTCTTTTTTCCATCTATCCAGGGATGTTGTAGACATGATGATAGACCTCCTATCCGGTTCACATATGCGAGAAGGAATAAGGGGTTTGCCAAGTCATCAGAAGTTAGTTAGATAGGGGTGAAAATGTAATAATGTTGATATAGGATTATGAATAAAGATGGAGGGAAAGGGGTTTTGGTGGGGTGGGGGTTATCAATTTACTGAACTTCTGTTAGAAAAGGGCGAGAGTCCGGGCATCTCAAATAGCCTTGGAATTTGTTATCCATTCTGCTCATTTCATTCTTCAATATCAAGTCAATTGTTCTTCCATCGTGCATCTGTGAAAGTCATAGTTGATCATCATAGATCATTGTTGATTCTGCATAAACTGAGGCCTAATATGATATTTTCATCAGCAGGATAGCAGCATTCCAATAGGAGCTCCCAGCCTTGAGCAGCTAACACAAGAGATCTGGGACCAGTAGCCGGGATTCTATCACATGATAGGAGGTCTCCTGGATCTTTTCAGAAAAAATCAGGCTTTTATTGGTGTGGATGTCACGGGAACACTTTCTTCTGAAGAACGAGATGAAAGGTTGAAACACCATCTCCTGGCTTCTAAGCAGCTTCATCCTGCTTTTTTGATGTGTGAATATAATTCATTTCTAAATGTATAGAGTATAATAAATCAAGAAATAAACAGGGAAGAATTGTAGAGAAAATTTTCTGTATTGATTTCTTCACCTTACATTATCAAATGTTTTACAACCAATTTATAAATATACAATGCTGTGTAAATTAAAGAATTTGTTACAAGGGAAAAAAACAGAAACGGCAGCAAGCCATGTGCTCTAACAGAATGCTGGTAATGCAAAGCTTCTAGATTCTTTTCCTTCTAGACTCCTGTCTCTTTGTTGGATGCTGATGCAGCTTGAGTTGATGATTGTATGGACACGTCACTTGCCAGCTGCCTAGGTTGTTCTTCATCATTTAACAGCCCCCCGCAAGATGGAGAGTAAATATCAACTACTCCCATCTTGTTCATGTGCAAGTGAAGACTGGAGGAATTCAATGCCTTAGTTAAAATATCTGCCACTTGGGAATTAGTATGAACATGCTCAGTAGTGATGCTTCCATTTTGTATTTTGTTTCTAATGAGATGACAATCTATTTCTATGTGTTTGGTTCTTTCATGGAAAACGGGATTTGTGGCAATATAAATAGCAGACTTGTTGTCACAATATAATATTGCTGCCTAGCTGTGTTCAACCTGTAAAGCTTCAAATAGGAATCTCATCCATGTCAATTCACAGCAAACTTGTGCCATTGCTCTATATTCAGCTTCAGAGGATGATCTTGAAACCATATTTTGCTTCTTCGACTTCCATGACACCAGTGAAGATCCTATAAAGACACAATAACCTGTCACAGATCTCCTAATATATGGGCAAGCTCCCCAATTAGAGTCTGAATAACCGTTCAGCTGGAGATCAGATGTAGAAGAATAAAATAGGCCTTGACTTGGTGCCCTTTTGAGATATCTTAACACCTTATGTGCTGCATGAAGATGTGGTATTCTAGGCTTGTCCATATATTGGCTTAATAATTGAACTGAATAAGATAGGTCTCGTCTCGTTATAGTTAGGTACAGCAACCGCCCTATCAACCTTCTGTAGATAGAAGGATTAGCAAGCAAATCCCCTGTGTCCTTGGACAGTTTAACATTCTGATCAAGAGACAGTTTGGATGGTGCTGAACCTGAGGTGCCTGAGTCCTTCAAAATGTCCAGAGCATATTTTCTCTGACATATGTATATTCCATGTTTTGCTTGCCACCTCGATTCCCAGAAAAATACTTTAGTTTTCCCAGATCCTTGATTTTGAACTTTGCATCAAGAGCGGCCTTGAGATTGTTGATAGTATCCATACAATTTCCTGCTAAGATAACATCATCCACATGTACTAAAATGGCTGTAAAAGAGTCTTGAGTAGTTCTGGTAAATAAACTGTAATCCGCTTTTGACTGAATGAAACCAAGTTGAATGATAAAACCAGACAACTTTGAGTACCATTGCCGTGAAGCTTGCTTAAGTCCATATATACTTTTGCCAAGTTTACAAACTTTTGAACTTCCAGCAGTAGCATATCCTGGTGGCAAGTGCATATAAACCTGTTCATCCAAATCTCCATGTAAGAATGCATTGTTAACATCTAATTGATACAAGAACCATCCCTTTATGGCTGCAAGAGCAAGTAAACTTCTAACAGTAACAAGTTTTACCATTGGAGAAAAGGTTTCATGATAAACCTAACCTTCTTGTTGTGTGTACCCCTTTGCAACTAGCTTAGCTTTGTACCTCTCAATACTTCCATCGGCATTAAACTTGATTTTATATACCCATTTACACCCTACTACCTCTTTATCAGGTGGCAAATCAGCAATGAGCCATGTATCATTTAACTCAAGTGCGTTAATCTCAGCTCTCAAGGCCTCACACCATTTAGGAAAGTTGACCGCTTCTTGATAATTCTTAGGTTCAGTTTGTGAAATTATGGAAGTAACAAGAGCATTATGAGAGATGGACAACTTATCATATGAAATGCTAGCACTAAGGGGATAAGGAGTACCTGAGTGAATTGAGCCTTCAGCTTTCTCCAATTTCTGAAATGGGATGAATGAAGTGGCCTGTTGACATATATATTCCTGCAGATGTAAGGGAGCTCTCATGATTCTGGTGGATTTTCTAGGTAAGTGGGGAGTGGTTGGATTTGTGTTTGTGATGTGCAAATCTGTTTGATGCATAATTTGATCAGTTTGAGGATATGTTGGTCCAGTATATTCGACGTCTTTTGTAGGACTAGGAACAAGTGAAGCTTGGTTATTGAATTCTGTGGATTCTAGGGATGTGTAATCGTTTGGAGTAGAGATAAGAGGGCTTTGAGGGAAGCACATATTAGTAGGACTTGACATATCATTATCTTTTGCAGCTTCTTTGAAGGGGAAGAAAGTTTCATGAAAAACTACATTTCTAGATAAGAAAATCCTTTTGGTTTCTAGGTCAAGGAGTTTATATCCTTTAATTCCAAAAGGATATCCCAGAAAAACACATTTCCTATTTCTTGTATCAAATTTATGTCTTCCTTGTATGAGTGTTATGGCAAAGGCAAGACAATCGAACACTTTGAGATGTGAATATGTTGGCCTTTTTGGAACAGAAGTTCAAATGGACTTTTGTGATTTAAAAGAGTTGAAGGAGTTTTATTTATGAGGTACACTGCTGTCAAGACACAGTCACTCCAATATTTTAGTGAAATCCCACTTTGGAACCTTAGAGGCTAGAGCTCTTGCAACATTCAAAATGTGTTGATATTTCTTCTCAACTATAGCATTTTGTTGAGGGGTTTCAACACATGTTTTCTGGCGAATTATCCCCTTTTCAAGATAATTATTTCATATCAAATTCCCCCCATTATCACTTCGAATGATTTTTATTTTGGTCTCAAATTGTGTTTCAACCATAGCACAAAAAAATTGTAACATATGTGAAGCATCAAATTTCAATTTCAGCATGTATACCCAGGTACATCTGCTGAAATCATCTACTATTGTTTGAAAATAACGAAATCCATCATAACTCATTTCATTGCAAGGTCCTCAAAGGTCAATATGTATTAAATTAAAACATTTTTCTGACTTGTGATGACTGACTGGGAAGGGGGGCTTGTGCATTTTAGCTAAGGGACAGACAAGATATGGCTTGGAATCAGCCAACTTAGGAATATCATCTATGAAAGGAAAGACATGGATGTTCTAATCTATAGTGCCAGACATCAAAGTCTTTAGGAGGTTTGCTAATAGAAGCTGAAATGGAAGGAGTTGTAGACATGTGAATTAGTCTTTGCTGAAGAATTGTAGGAGAAACCTTTGTTTGCAGGATGTGATAGAGGCCAGACTTCAGTTCACCCATTCAAGTCGTTGTCCAAGTCAAAAGGTCCTATATGTAGCAGAAATCAGAGAAGAAAACAACACAGCAATGCAAGTCTCGAGTGAGTTTTCTAACATATATTAAATTGAAAGTAAAAGAAGGAACATGAAGTACATCTTGAAGGACCAGGGATTTTGTGATTTGGACTGTGCCAATTTGAGTTACCGGCACAATGTTTCCGTTTGACAAAGCTACAGAGCAGTCAGCCTACCTCTTGTCACGAGAAAAATATGATGGTGAACAGATCATATGACCTGTTGCACCTGTATCGAAAATCCAAGGAATATAACAATTACTTATGGATTTATTCTTAGTGCTTGTTAGACAATAAGATATACCGGAGAGCTTGGGAACAAGATTTCCTGAAGTTGAAGTGGCAATGCTTTGGACTTGATTTGCTGATGGTTTCAGAATGGCCATGAGTTGTGCATATTGCTCTTGAGTTAAGGACACCCGACCTTTGTCATTTTGTTGTTCCTGATTTAGAGGTATAAGGGCACATGCTTGGTTTGCTGTTGATCTAAACTTGTTCTTTCCTTCATACCTGTGGCCTGATGGATATCCAATCAATTTGAAGCATTTGTCTATCTTGTGGCCTGGCATATGACAGTGAGAACATATAGGCCTATTGGGATTGGCCTTGAAGCACCTCTCAAGGGAGTGCCCTGCAATCTTGCAATAGGTGCAATAATAGTTATCCTTCCCTTGTGATGTAGTATTCATCCTGCCACTTTCTTTTAAGTTTCCCTTAACAAGCAAATATAAAGTTTCACTGATAGGACTTTCTATAGAGATTGGCGCCTCTTCTCCTCTTGTTGTATGGTTGCATAAACCTCGTTTAAGCTAGGAAAAAGTTTCATTAACAGAATTTGGGCCTTAAGGTTCTTGTACGATTCATTTAATCCCATTAAAAACTTCATTACTCAATCTCGTTGCTGATTTTCGACCACCATTTTCAGACCCCCACAGGTGCAATTGGGGATAGACTCATAGTTTAATAGCTCATCTAGAAGAGTTTTGAACTTGGAAAAGTAGGTACTCACATCATCCTGACTTTGAACCAGCACCACGATGGCCTGCTTGATTTCATAAATCCTGGAAGCGTTTTGTTGTGCAAACCGTTGCTCCAATTCTAGCCACAGCTGATGTGCTGTCTCAGCATGCACAGTACTACATTTGATATCCACTGCCTGGTATTTTGCAGCAGGTAATCACAATGTCGTTACATCTAAGCCAATGTTCCATGAGAAGGTTGTTTGAATCATTTGGTTCACAGAGACTTCCATCTATGAATCCCAATTTGTTTTTGATTCTAAGTGCTCGTTTCATCGATCTGGCCCAAGAGTGATAGTTGTTTGCCTCCAACACGATTGTAACTAACACAGCACTAGTCCCATCGTTGCTGCCAATAAAATAAGGACTGCTTGGAGTGTTGGATCATGAATTTTTGAATTTGATTCAGTATTAGAATTGGTGTTTGGATTCTGAGTTGCATTTGGAGAAGTGTTCGAAACTTCAATATTTGATTCAGCCATTTCGTGGCTCTGATACTATATAATAAATCAAGAAATAAACAGAGGGAAGAATTGCAGAGAAAATTTTCTGTATTGATTTCTTCACCTTACATTATCAAATGTTTTACAACCTATTTATAACTATACAATACTGTGTAAAATAAAGAATTTGTTACAAGGGAAAAAAACAGAAACGACAGCGAGCCATGTGCTCTAACAGAATGCTGGTAATGCAAAGCTTCTAGATTCTTTTCCTTCTAGACTCTTCTCTCCTCGTTGGATGCTGATGCAGCTTGAGTTGATGATTGTATGGATGCGTTACTTGCCAGCTGCCTGGGTTGTTCTTCATCATTTAACATAGAGTGCTTGGGATTTATTGAACTAATACTTGTCTGTTGCACTTCAACTTGTTGCTAGTTTAGAATTACGTCATTTGTGGCGAGGCTGTTGATGTTCTAGTACTCTATATGTAACTGCAATGTAAATCGATCAGAATTCCATGGCGGGTTTCCCAAATTTTTCCAAGGATAGGTTTATTTCACTAAATTCTGCCTTCTTGGAAGTTATAATTGTCGTGCTGTTTTTGCTGCTTGAGATTAAGAAATTGAAAATGCACGATTAGTTTGCTGGCAGTCTGCCACACTTAACTCATTTTGTTTATACAACTAAACAATTACCGTAATTCAAGTTGTCAAGTTTCACTATCATTTACCTGTGAAAGGTTATGTATATCATGGGACACGAATGAATCATGATAAAATTATATGTCAACAGTTATTTATAAAATACTTCAATAGAAAGCAATACAGTGAATCTCTTGCTCACTCCTTCAGAAGCCTAATTACTCTCTTGTTTACTTATCTATGTGGTTTATTTAAATTTGAGTTTATGACTGTTACCTAAATGTTATAGTCATGGTTAATGCTTTTTTGGTCTAAACAGTTAATGTAGATGATGCTGTGGATGATATTGTATGACAGTTCAAAGGAGTTTCTGATAGCTTGATGCAGAAAGTTGTTGGCTCACGTTCCTCTACGTGTGAACCAGCTTATTTAGTTACAAGCAGAACTTTTTCCTGGAATGCCGACAATATTAAAAAACTGACTTTGAGTCACAATACCACTGAGTCAACTAACAGTTTCTCAGATAACGAGGAAGGTGATAAAGATGAAAGCCATGGGCAACAGGAAGTAGAATATGCTGCGCAAGCCAATGGGTGGCATTCGGACTATGAATTGAACCCAAAGGCGTTTCCACCAAGAACTGTGACATGTGATGAAGACTTCACCCTGCATTCTAAGGAAATTCGTGCTCAAAGCACGCAATCTGAGTTGCACGGTCTGAGCAGATATTCAGAGGTTAGTCTGGCAATAACATCTGTTCCCCAAGAGGATCCATCGGGGATGCCTCCAGAGGTACAGTGGTAGAATTCTTGTATTCCCCTCTCTGCTTTTGTTCATTTCGCCTCCTCCCCTTGTACTTGTGAGTAATTATCCTTAACTCATTTCGCCAAACCAGGTCCTTGTTTTTCATATTTGCCTTTTTTTTCCTAATCCTAGTGGTTCTGTCTCTGTCTCTTTCTCTCTCGATTTTCTCACGCGCATGCGGATCTTATTGAATGCTGAATTTAAATAAAAAAATTTACCCCCTAACAGTTCAAGCTTGAAGAAGAGGTAGTTCACCATAAAATATGGCAAAGATCCTGAGTTGAAACTTTTTAGCTATTGCTCTTAATTGATATTAGATTTTTTTTTTTTTAGCAGTGAACTCCTCCCAATTGAAGCGTTCCTGTTTTGAATTTGGTTGACAAGGTATTTCAGCTGAAGAGAAGAAGCTGGCTAAGGTGATGCTACAGTTTGCTTGTTTCTATATTTTGAACTTCTTGCTGGGTTTGAAGTTTAAATGCAGTATCAGATTCTTTAAGGTCTTGTTATCTTTCGTCAATACATGCACAATCTACTGCTTATATTTCTGGTGATTTAAACAGAAAGGTTTCAATTTGTGTAGCATGTAAGTTGATGTGTTTAGCCACTGGCCTTTAGCAAACTGTGTGAACTTTTGTTTTTCTTTCAATGACAGACGACTTTCTCGCTGAGTCCGTCTTTTGAACTTCTTTGCGCTTTTCCTTCTTTCTTTTCTTTTGGGTGACTACCTCATGATCAAATCCACATTTCAGGACTCAAAAAAGGAGTTTCCCCGTCTCTATGGTGACAATTTGATGGAACTGCATGAAATAGTCGTGTTCAGAAAGCATTATGTCAAATACATATCATCATTAGTCTAAATATATATTTTTTCATTGCAGGAGACAAGCCTTTTGGATATCAAAGCAAATATTGCACTTAATTATGGACGATGCTGTCGATGACTGCCTCTTAAGGCAAATTCAGTGGCTACGATCATTGTTCAAGGAATTTGGGCGTTCCAGGATGGGAGTATTTGTCTTAGCCGAAAGTATTCGAATACTCTGTTGGGAAGTTCCTTTTTCCATTTTAAGTTGCCCTGAAATTTGTTCCTCTTAAAGTGCTTCATCACTTTATGGTGTCGGTTCCCCCATATTTTAGATATCTGAATTTTTTGTAGCTATTATTCTCTTTGCAATCCAATCATTCCTGCTTTGAATTTTGACAGTTGAGGAATCTGATTTTTTTTTTTTTTTAAAGTTGTCCATCGATGCTTTAACCCATTCTCTGATTATTGTCTCATTGTTAGATTCTTTGGCCCAATGACATATTCTTCCTGAGATTGAATATTCAAATTAGACTAAATGTTAGTCTAGCAAATCAGTCTCCAACCTTTCATTGTCAGTTTAGGCACTCTTCTACCTCCATTTGCCAAATTAACAGATATGCTTACAAAGAGGGTAGTTTCAATAGCAGTGGTGGTGGGTGGAATTTATTAGCCAATGCAAAGGCAATTTTATCAAATTTAATAACAAGATTACAGTAGAGATAACACAGTCCATCATAAATTTAATGTAGTTTTTTGAATGCATACATTAATCCAAAAAATTCAAACAACAGATATGCATCTGCAATCTCTGCAATTAATGTTGTTATGAAACAACTAAAATATATCTTGTTAGAAGAAATATTAATATATCCGGATCGCTGTTAGCAATGTTGGAAATACAAGAATTATGTATTGTTTGAATACCACTAGATAAAATCAACCACCGAAATGAATTGTTGAAGTTATATGACAAATAATGAAGTATTAGATCAAACAAAAGTATAATAAAGACAAGAAATATGGCAGAGAAATGAAAAAATTTTATTGATTCAAGAATAATGAAAAAAAGAGAAAAATTACAATGGATCCTATAATTTTAACAATCTATTTTTTCACATTATTAAATTATATAGAAGATCCTAATATTTATATGGCATATGTAGGTGACGTTTAAACCCTCATAGTAGAGTTGTTGATTAAGTATGATGCCAAAAAATTGAGTTCAAAACGAAAAAAGAGAGAAAAACTCGGAAAATCGGAACATGCAAGGTGGCGCCGCGGCGCCGAGCATTCTGTCTGAATTTTTTTTTTTTGTTCCCAAAATGTTTTCTCCATCCCTATCGTCCAATTCTGTTAATTTTACTATTAAAAACAGGAAAAATTGCAAAAATTAAAAATAAATAATTACGGTTGTGATCCTAAATTTTTTTAATTACGCCAAAATATATTATTTGTACCACTCATATTCTCAAACCTTTAAAGCTTATCTTCAGGCCCACTCCCATAACGTATCTCAGAAATCCCAACTTCCCTGTATTACGCTCCATAAAATTAAGCAAAAAATCAAAAAATAACAAAGAATCTTCGCATGTGTGTAAATTTGTGCATGCAATTTGTATATATCTCTTTCTTTGTGTTTGAAATGAAAAGGGATTATAACTTATCGGACACAAAATATAGCAGGAGTGCGGTTTGCGCTGATGAGAGAACAGAGGGTGGATGGGCAATAGAATGGTAATTTCGAAGTAATGAGAGGGGGAAAACATTGTTCGATTTGATCACTTGTAGCTAAAACTTAGTGTGTATTTGGTAGGGATTTTTTGGGGGAAGAATTGATTTTGAATAGTGATATGATGGGAAATGTGTGGTTGAAAAAGAAGATAAGATTATTGATGTGATGAAAAATATTATTTTATTGAAAAATGTGTGGTTGAAAATGAGAATTGAAAAAAAGAAGATAAGACTATTGATGTGATAGAAAATATTATTTTATTAAAGAATATGTGGTTGAAAATGAGAATTGATTTACTGTTGAAAATGAGAATTGGTACCAAACATAGCTTTAATTTGTGTTCATACCATAAAAATAGTATATTTGATTCATGAAGACTATTTCAGTGTGCGGGTTTACTTATGTTTGTTTTTTTGTGAAATCCGGTGAGGTGGCGTTAGGGGGGTTTCTTGCAAAAAAATGTTTCAAATAGGGGGATTTATGCGATTTCCAATAGGTAGGAGAGTATATAGCAATTGGAAACCTTTTTAGAAGGGTTTTCTGCTATTAATTCTTTGAATTAACATGAAGAAAATCGACTTAAAAGCCAAAAAATCAGAGCCTCCATTTTCGTATAGGCTCAAGAAATGTTTGATCGAGTCTTTCAACATGGTTTAGTAATTGGAAGCGGTGGCAACGAGCCGAGCCCGAGCTTTTTTGGACCGAGCTTTTTTTGGCCCGAGCCGAGTCGAGCCTGGCCCGACCAAAAAAATAAGGCTCGGCCCGAGCTTTAGGCCCTAGCTTTAGCGGGCCGAGCCGAGCCGGCTCGGGTATTTTTTTTTTGGGTGTAAAATCTACATTAAAACAAAAAAAAAAATTGTACATTTTATGCTTAATACGTGTTATAAATTAAAGAGATTATAATAGTTACATACTTTAAGTAAAAATGAAACTTTCATAATCTCTTTAATTTATAACACGTATTACGCATAAAATGTACAATTTTTTTTTTTAATGTAGATTAAAAAAAAA